AGAAGAAGTTACTTGCAGTTATGCATAGAAGAAGTTGAAATCAAACCAAGCCCAAGAACAGAAATTCGTCTCAAACCAAATCGAAGTGAAGAAATACGTCCAACTCAAGCCGAAGAGAAGAATCAGCCGTGAACGACTGGTAGAGATTAGCGCCCAGTGTCAAAACTAAACCACCCTCCGACACACAAAAATTCTAGAGAGTAGGCAACTCGAAGTCTTTAAGTTGTATGATAGAAGCTTGGTGCCACAATCCACAAAGGGTCGGGAAGTAAGAATATTTTTTTGTAACGAACATTAGATATAAAAGGTTGTTACCCTTTTTATCAGTAATTTTTGGTCTCGTGAGTTTTTTTTTTTTACTTGTGTTTTGCCACCCCCGTCGAACTCAGCATGCATACGGCCCTAATCCCTGTTTGATCCCGTCTGTCTAAGGTCTAATCACAACGTGGGTAGGCAGACCGGAGATCAGTACAGTTACCCTGGTAACCAGGTGTTGGAAGCGAGTTGGGAAAGGCGAGGCTGGTAATCATCTAATCAAGGGTTGGAACGTCACACTTGGAGCAGCAAGGAGCGACCCGGAGGAGCGACGTCACCGTTGGCGCCGTGACCAAAGTTCGACCCTGGACCGGTGCCGTCACACATACATACATATATATATATATATATATATATATATATATATATATATATATATATATATGTGTGTGTGTGTGTGTGTGTGTGTGTGTGTGTGTGTATGTATGTATACGGCGTGTTAGTTAATTAAGCGTTGTGGAAAATACACAGGTTTAGTGTATTATATATTAAACGATATATTGCTTATCAAAGGATATGAATATATTTTCACAAAGTCATTATTAGGAGCATTTTCTCAAGAAAATTAATATTTTCTTCCTAAATATCTCGCCTATATACATAAACAGACACATATATAATCATGAAAAAATAATGTCCAAAACACGAACGAGACATGATGCGGTATAATAAAGTCAACCACTACAAAATAAGTGATTGAAATTCAATATTGTCGTCTTTAACGTTACACACAAACAGATGACTAAAGTGAAAGCATTTCATTTTCAGTAAAGACAGATATAAAAAATATATAATTATGGGAGTGAAAGAAAATGTTGATAGATTGATAAATAACAAATATAGATAAATAAATATTAAACAATCAGTTTGATATGTACATAGATATGAACAGAATGATAGATAAATAGATAGATATGAAGAAAATGAGTTATTATTAGATAGATGTTGAACAGGCTCATATAGATATGTAGATAGGTATACACAGAATGATATAGGTAGATAGATATTGAACAATATATATATATATATATATATATATATATATATATTGCTCAATATCTGTTTATATCTATCTACATACCTATATCAGCCTGTTCAACACATATTTATTTATATATGTATATTATTTATATATATATATATATCTACATATATATATATATATATGTGTGTGTGTGTGTGTGTGTGTGTGTGTGTGTGTGTGTGTGTGTGTGTGTGTGTGAACATATATAGAAAATAGGAAAGAACTGGTATGTTAAGTAATCCAAAGTTCTTTAGTATTTTTGTTATTATTTTTTAAAAATTGTGCTCGATACAAAAATAGAGCATAAATATAATTACTTATTTAAAAATATGATTCCAACACGCTACATAAGAGGTCTCATGTTTCAAAACAAGAGCCGAAAACTTCAATATAATTATTTGAATTAAATTGAATTAAAGTACTAAGCTCTGTTCCATCTTCAAGCGAAATTTCTTTTGGAATAACTTATTTCTGAAATTTACGTGTTTTAATAGCATATTCATTATTGAAATCAAAATTTCCATGGTAACTGCTTCACTGGTATCAGCTTCGATTTCATTTATAAGGCTTTTTTTCACTACTCTTTTGACTGTTATCGGTGAAACCCTTCTCTCACGTGCCCAATATAATTATTAATATATAGTTCCTCATGTATGCTCAAAGGACATGGATCATTTAATAACCTACATATTCTATAAGAAAAATAAAGAACCTAGAATATGTAGGTCATTAAATGACCCATGTCCTTTGTGCATATATGATAAACTACATATTACTAAGTTTATAAAAATAAATATTTCCTGAATCAAAGAAATGAAATAGCTATTGTTTGCCGTCATTGTCAAAAATTTTCCTTAAATAATATGAAAAAAAAAATGGGAGCTGGTAATACACGTACTTATATTTGATATGTAAAGATAATTTTAAATAATTTAAGTTATTCAATTACATTTACTTGTTTTAAAAAGAAAAATAGCCTATTAGTAATTAAGAGCAAAAATATTTTAAAATTGTAGGTTGGAAGATGTGTGTCTATAGAGTGGTTTATCATTGGGTTTATATGTGCCAATGATAAATCACTCTATATACAGACATCGTCCAACCACCTGCCTTCTATAATCAAACAGATACCAAAATCGATTAGCCGCAGGCTTTCCGACAATTCCTCCAATGAATCCATATTTAACAAAGCTTAGAAAGACTATGAAACAGCCCTAAAAGATAACGGATTCTCAGCAACACTGACATACTCACCACAGAACACAAAAAAGTCCAACAGGAGAAGAAATATCATATGGTTCAACCCACCGTACAGCAAAAACGTAAAATCAAATGTAGGAAAAATATTCTTCAAACTCTTACACAAACACTTCCCGGAATCAAGTACCCTACACAAAATATTCAACAAAAACACAGTAAAAATCAGCTACAGTTGCACTGAAAACATGACATAAATAGAAAAATAGCACAACAGAAAAATATCAACAAACCACATGAACAAATTAAACCCACGTGCAACTGCAGAATAAAGAACGAATGTCACTTAAAGGGAAATTGTTTACAAAACAACGTAATATACCAAGTCACGATAAAATCACCAGATAAGGAAGAAAAAGTATACATAGGAGTAACTGAAGTACCCTGGAAACAAAGAAATTATACACACAAAACATCTTTCACTAATAGTAAATATGCGAACAGTACAATGCTTTCTAAATATATCTGAGAAATTAAAAACAAAACGCACATCACACCAAAAATATCTTGGAAAAAAAGGAAAAGATCATCAGCCTACAACAACCCATCAAAAACATGCAAACTTTGCTTGGAGGAAAAAATAGCTATCATCAATTTCGCAGACCAAAATAAATTATTAAATAAAAGATCCGAGCTCATCTCAAAATGCAGACATGAAAACAAATTTTTACTACGTTACTTAAAAATCGAAAACGTAAAAAATAAAATAAAATAAAAATAAATAAATAAACAAAATAACAATAAAATAAGCAAAAATAATTAACTCAAACAAATTACCAAATCACACCTGTTAGAATAGACGAAATAGAATAATAATAAAAAAGCAAAAAAAGCAACGAACCCAAATAAATAAAGTAAATAATAAACAAATTAGCAAACTATTATGACCAAAATATTAGTTAGACTATAAAAATCAAACCAAAAAATCGGACGAAAAAAAATTAGTTATAACTGTTATATAACGATAAAAAAATACTACGTTACTTAAGAATCGAAAACCGAAAAGACGAAAATATACAAATAAATAATAACAAGTAAAATAAATTGACCTAAATTCATCCAAATAAATAAATAAACCAATCCCGATAAACTAACCGTTAGAAAAAACAAATAAAGATAATCAATCCAAATAAATACAAATTAAAAACTGTTCCCGCCAAAATAATTGTTAGAATAAGCTACAACAAACAACACCCAAATCGAATAAATAGCTTTAATTAAGTTCTCAAACCAAAACAAAACTATTAAATAAGCAATATAAACAAATTTTTACTACGTTAATAAAAACACCGATTAAAAAATAAATAAATATATAAGAATTAAAAATAAAAAAAAATAAAAATAAAAATAATTAAAAACAAGCAAAATAATTTAACCCAAATAAATAAATAAACAAATAAACCACTTCCGGTGAAATAACTGTCAAAAATAGACTACCCACAATGCAACACTGAACCGTATATATATAAATAGCCGAGAAAAATAACAGCACTCGTGGCCTGATGATAGCATATAGCATGAAACAGACTTTCGCCTCTAAGTGTTGACTTCTATGTTCACGTTTTATATATATATATATATATATATATATATATATATATATATATTCGCAGTAGTTATTTGAAAGTGTTATCTGTGAAATACCATCTACATACACGTTGGTCTTGTCTTTAAACCGCCCTTTTTTGACAACATGTTCTGAAATCTGACCGGAATGAAGTTATTTATATTTCTTATTAGGATTACGAAAATACATTCATTTTTTACCTCCAGTTATAATTCAACGTCAAAGACCAACATCTTGATTGTTTGCCAGCAGATGTTTTCAAATGTTCACATGTCGTTGAGCTTGGTCATTGGTCAGAAGGCCGAAGTTATAGAGGTGTCGATTGTTGGTTCTTTATGAATGACCTTTTTCTACCTTCCATGGGAGACTGTTTGAAATTGGCTGTTTCAAACAAGGCCTCATCTTCCATAACAGAATGTCTCCTTGATCTTCTCTTCGAAACTTCTGGAATAGCTTTATGCTGCACGTTCATTGTCAGTTCTTGGGTTTCCCACATCATTGTTCTTGGTTTTTTTTGTTTTTGTTTTTTTTTTTTCTGTAGGTTGCGTACAGTTGCGCTGATTGCAATTTTTCCACCAGTCATTATCAAAGCAGTGAAATAAAAGATAGACAATTAATGGTCATATGTTATATATGAAAAAAAAAGAATGAACAATTTAGTTACGTTTGGACAAGTTGTATCAAATTAATAATATAAAATGGAGATATAATCTGCCAAAATTAATGAAAATCCGAAACTAATAGGGGTTTAACATAAAAGATGTTAAACAGATTTAGATAGATAGATATATGTTGAACAGACTAACATAGATAAATAGGTAGATAGGTGGATAGATGTTAAACACACAGGCAGATAGATAGATAGATAGATAGATAGATAGATAGATAGATGTTGAACAGACTAAGATAGATGAATAGATAGATAGATGTTAAACAGAATTAGATAGATAGATAGATAGTTAGATGTTGAACAGACTAAGATAGATAAATAGATAGATAGATGTTAAACAGATTTAGATAGATAGATAGATAGTTAGATGTTGAACAGACTAAGATAGATAAATAGATAGATAGATGTTAAACAAATTTAGATAGATACATATAGATAGATAGAGAGATGTTGAACAGACTAAGATAGATAGATGTTAAACAGATTTAGATAGATAGATATATGTTGAACAGACTATGATAGATAAATAAATAGATATTAAACAGATTTAGATAGATAGATAGTTAGATGTTGAACAGACTAAGATAGATAAATAGATAGATAGATGTTAAACAGATTTAGATAGATAGATAGTTGTTGAACAGACTAAGACAGATAAATAGATAGATAGATGTTAAACAGATTTAGATAGATAGATGTTGAACAGACTAAGATAGATAAATAGATAGATAGATGTTAAACAGATTTAGATAGATAGATATAGATAGATATATAGATAGATGTTGTACAGACTAAGATAGATAAATAGATAGATAGATGTTGAACAGACTAAGATAGATAAATAGGTAGATAGGTGGATAGTTGTTAAACAAACAGACAGATAGATCGATAGATAGATAGATGTTGAACTAAAATAGATGAATAGATAGATGTTAAACAGATTTAGATAGATAGATAGATAGATAGATAGATAGATAGATGTTGAAAAGACTAAGATAAATAGATAGATAGATGTTAAACAGATTTAGATAGATAGATATAGATAGATAGAGAGATGTTGAACAGACTAAGATAGATAGATGTTAAACAGATTTAAATAGATAGATAGATAGATAGATAGATAGATAATTGAACAGACTATGATAGATAAATAGATAGATGTTAAACAGATTTAGATAGATAGATAGATAGATAGATAGATAGATAGATAGATAGATAGATAGATGTTGAACAGACTAAGATAGATAAATAGATAGATAGATGTTGAACAGATTTAGATAGATAGATAGATAGATAGATAGATAGATGTTGAAAAGACTTATAATTAACAAACTGAGATACTGAATAATTATATAAATAATAGACAGATAGTAGATGGATACTGCACTGATAGAGTTAAATAGATAATGGGAATGTAAAAATCGAGAAAACTTTTAACGGAGATCACAGAATCCTAAAAAATGTAACTGAAAACATTGTCAAGGTAAATAAATCTGTCTTTAAAGATGTCAGAAAAAATAACTTTCGAAAGCGTTAAAAGGGTGATAAGCAAGATAAGGGGATTGATCAGTAAGAAATGATTTGAAGAAATTGTTATTGGGAATCTAATAGGATAGAGAATATATGGAACATTACTTAAAGGCAATACAAATATAAAATTTGACAGATGATTGATGTCGGATTCAGTACCCTGATTTCAGAATACCGTAAGCGGACATTCGTGTAAACAGTGAGTGTCTACCGATTTTCTTATTTTCGTTATACTCATGTTAAATTTAAAAAAAAATACTTCATGCATTTGTTATCCTTCTTAGGTCGTTTATTTTCTTCTTTGTATATATATTTCTCTGTGCTCAGGTGTGTGTGCGTGCGCTTATTTATGTGTCTGTGTGTGTACAGCTGTACGTGTGCGTACGTATGAATAAAATAATAATGATTTTGATGAAGAATTAAAATTTAGGAAGAAAATCGTTAAAAAAGGAAGTGGGCCTCTAGATTATTTTATGCAGAATGTCGTCTTTATTTCTTCTTTCCATAATTGTTTTGTCTCTATATACTCTCTCACTATTCCTTTTCTTTTTCTATCTTTCCAGTGTCAAGAGATAATCTAAATATATTATTTCTAGTGTCAATGAAGGGAGATAATCTTAGGCTATTTTTTCATGACTAATCTGGATTTTCTGAAGTCTTTAGATATATACGTGTATTCCGTTTTTTTTTTTCTTTTTTTTATCTGTTTCTTGCTTAAATTATTAATTGCGATGGCTGTAGAGAAAACGAAATCAATATCAGACAGAGATATAGCACGCTTGAGGATGGTTGCTATAGGATTGATGCTCCTGAATCATTTGATTTACTATCCATCTGGAAGAAAGTAAACGCTGATATAAATCCTGTCCCACTGCTAAATTCGGGTATCTTATATCTGCTTTTCTCTGGGACAGTTGTGTGTGGAAATAGGGGCAACGGCTGCGACAGTTGACAAGCCCCATTTTATGGATGAGTTGATTTATGGAGATCTGGGAATGACCAATTTCTACCGACTGTATACGACTGCTTGAGCTTCATTTTTTCAAGGAAGGAATCATCTTTCACAATGGAATCTGACCGACATAAAGTCATTGATATTTCTTATTAGGATTACGAAAATACATTCATTTTTTACCTCCAGTTATATTTCGACGTCAAAGACCGACATCTTGAGCGTTTGCCAGCGGATGTTATTAAATGTTCACAGGTCGTTGAGCTTCGTCATTATTCAGAAGGCCGAAGTTATAGAGGTGTCAATTGATGGCGCTTTGTGAATGACCTATTTCTACCGCCCTTGGACGACTGTTTGAAATCGGTTCTTTCAAGCAAGGCTTCATTTTTCCCAATAGAATATCTCCTTGATCTTGTCTTTGAAATGTTAAAGGTGTTCAATTTTTCTTTGGCTAATTTAATTTGACTTTTCACAATTGAACACCCTTAACAGCAACAGAGAGGGCATCTACGATAAACTAAAAGATATAACTACCCCGTCCATGAAAACAAAAACACACTATCATTATTGTTTTGTCCGTGTATTGTTTAATATATTGTAATGTAATTGTCATCTTTGATAATGACCTATGTAAGCCGAAAGCTTAGATAGGATAAAAAATATGTAATGTATTCTTGTGAAAAGGCAAATTGAAATAGCCAAAAAAAATGTAACACACTTGACAGCCAAAAAAGGACATCTACCATAAACTAATATATATATATGTGTGTGTGTGTGTGTGTGTGTGTGTGTATGTATGTATATGATGGATTCTCCTGTCGAGTTTAACGTATGAGGTTCCGACGTCCATGAACTAATTATCTACGTGCCTATGACGGGCATGACTTTTGCGACAGGCTCTAGAATTACACAAAAGACCACAAACATTACAGAAGATTGTATTGTATCCAAGTGAAGCAGGAACACTGTTAGATGTCTTATTTTGCTTTCTCCTTTCATCTAGTCGGCTGATGTTTACTTCTCAGTGCAGCTATATCAATGTTGTACTTCGTTAGCTCCAATGCGACCAGAGCTATTTTTCTTTCTGGTGCTGAGTTGTTGTCCTGGAGAGTTTGTACATTCCAAATGCCAAGATGAAGTTGATGTTGGTCCGTAGAGTTTTTCGCAGTTACCGGATGTGTGTGGAACTAATTAGATGTAGTTGCCAGAAAACAAACACAATGATTTGTTTCCAGTGATGAAGGCTTTTATCGGACCATCCAGGCTTTTTGGATCTGTCGATAAAAAAGTAACGGTGCAAAAGACTTGCCACGGAAATTCCGAACGACAGTCCTCATGTGTTATTATCGCGGAGTTTTTACCTCTCCGGATCACAGTCAATACCAGCCAGTACACGCCTCTCGGCAGACACATTCAATATAATGATCGAGTTAAACTTTCATGAGCTTTTCTTCCCATCTGAAATATTTTCATCGTGAAACCAACACTAACCAAATCTCAGAGAGACTCCATTCACCCTCATCAAGGGCAACTTCTCAACTAGGTACTTTGCCATAAAAAACAGAGCAACAAATTGTAAATTAAAAATAATAAAAACATAGTGCGTTTAAGCGTGATTTTAAAAAATTCCCATCGCAAGGAAATGCAGATTTCATTACAGTTGCAAGAAGTTTGACTTTGTAATTCACTCCTGAAGATGATCTTGGAGGAGATCAAAAGTACTTGGGTAGGAAGAACGTACAACTCTTTCCTTGATCATTCATCATAGCATCAAGCAACTGATTAGAGAAATGAAAATGATCATTATAAAAGTAAATAGACATAATATGTCTATATTGAACAATGAAATTTATTTGAATGAAGATATTCTGTCTAAACACCTTACATTTGACTTCATCATCTATCTATCTATATATATATATATATATATATATATATATATATATATATATATATATATATATATCTGTACATACATATATATATATATATATATATATATATATATATATATATATAGATAGATAGATAGATAGATAGATAGATAGATAGATTCCCGCTCTACTTACGTTTTAGTATTACTACTAGCTCGGGGATTTTTCTTTGGAAAAAATACTAAAGGCACAGGCCGATTTATTTCGACCTGTTCGGATGTTTTTAGTTCTTTCATTTTTATTTACAATTTTTTCCTCGGGTACCGATTTGTTTTGACACATCTACAAGTTGAGCTATATGAGTTTTTTTTTTTTTTTAAACGAGTATTAATATTAGTATATATATACATACATACATATATATATATATATATATATATATATATATATATATATATATGAAGAAATATAGTCTTAAGATGTGCTATATTTATGGGATAAAGTGTTCAATATCAGAGATAGTGTGTGTGTGTAAATATAAAAGTGAGCATAAACCTCAATACTTAGAGGCTCTAGGTGTTGACTTTTATGTTCACTTTCATATATATATATATATATATATATATATATATATATATATATATATATATATATGAAAAATTTTATTTAACCTGTAGAAAAGACAATATTTTTAAATATAAATGTCAATAGGAAAACTGCAGTAGTTGCTGACTCGTTTTTTTTCGTTTTTGTTTTGAGAAAGTCCACATTGGACGAAAACGCGTCGGTACTACTACAGTTTTCCTATTTATTATATATATATATATATATATATATATATATATATATATATATATATATATATATATATATATATATATATATTGGTCTAGTTCTCTATTACTTTTAAAAACATTATACTCGCCTTTAAATATCTTTTTTTTTTTCTCGCCCTAACCAAAGCGGTGATGCCACTTTAGTACGCAGGGGCTTACAGCAAACGAAAGAATTTAAAAAAGACTTAGAATAACAAGGATTGAGGAAAGGATAAAAAATTAAACGAGATTTTATTGCATATTAATTTTTGAAGATTATAGTTATCAGGGAAACAAGTAAACGAAAGAGGGTACCACAGGCGAAAATTAGTGTAAAAAGTGGCAGTTTCATTCAGCTATTTCAACATTTAAAAGTAGGACCTAGATCCTAAACTAGTAGTACGCTTAAATTTACGTATTCGGAGCACTAGTTGGGAATGATTAAAAAATTTTTTGTAGAAAAGACTGATAACTGACGGCGGAGTAATATGCATATACGTCTATCTCGCCTGCCACATTCGAATTCCGATTTATACTGATAAATGGCAGAGTAAGTTACGTCTAACTCGCCTACCATATTCGACTTCCGGTTTGTCTTGGTAACTAACAGAGAAACGTGTATCTGCGTATAACTCGCCTGCAACGTTCGAATTCCGGTTTTTCCTGGTAACTGACGGAGCAATGTGCATCTAGGTCTAGCTCGCCTGCCACATTCGACTCCCCGTTTGTTTTGATAACTGACAAAAGAATTTGAATTTAGTATATCTCTATATTTCTGAGATGAGGTATTATGTACACTATTTAAATTATTCGGACTATTGTCCTCATCTTTGTCACCCTATCTATCTCAAAGTTTCGGCCGTTGTACGCCCCGGCCTTCATCAAGTGGTTGGAATATCGAACTGAACCATTTATCTCGCTCGCTGAGGTAGACTGTTCTAGTTCCACATGCCATGTCTAATGAATATCAGTTATCATTTACCTCCTGTTAAATCCCCTCTCCATGTTCTCTACTATCTTAACCAGGTATTGAACTCACACTCTAATTAACGCCTTTATCCACTGTGCCATGTGTCCTTGAGGACATCTGTGTATGAATTTCTGGGTATTATAAACTTAATGTTTTCAGCATCAATTTTTTTACCAGTGCTCATATTGTAATTCTTTGCTGTTATCATTACATGTTTTGAATCTACGTCCACTTCGCCAGCCACATTCGAATTCTGTGTTGTTTTGATAACTAATGGAGCATTGCGAAGCTACGTCCAGTCCGCCTGTTGCATTTGAATTCTGATTTATCCTGATAATTGATGGAGCAATGTGCATCAACGTCTTGTTTTTCTGCCACATTCAAATTTCGGTTTGTCCTGATAACTGAAGTAGCAATGCGCAACTATGTCTAGTTCGCCTGTCGCATTCGAATTCCGTTTTGTCGTGTTCGTTAAGTGTTCGTCAATTTATTCGAAATCAGAGTTGGGGGGGGGAGAGAATGAAAAGTTGAAGAAGAGAGGAGATTTCTTCTTCAATCAATCAGGGGAACCCATTTTATCGGATTACTACTGAGCGCACGGAAAGGCGGAATGCTTCAATACACTCCCTTTCATTGACCCTGACTAACAGACTCCACTGACGCTTCGGCTTCAGCACTTGCTTACCATTGTGGCTAGCGAGACGCATTTTATACATTCCGCGGTTGGCACATAATCCTGACGTATGCTTTCATCATGTGAGCCGATTATATTCTCCGGTCTTTTTCAACCACGTGTAACATCTATGTCTTCCTGTACTATATCACTAAAATCTCTGGTCAAGCCACGCCATTGAGTTTATACATATCTCTTTCTCTCTCTTTCTATTTCTCTCTCTCTCTCTCTCTCTATATATATATATATATATATATATATATATATGAATTCAGTTATTTGGATATTAGTTTGCAACCCTGGGTTTAACACTATTGCGATCATCAGGCAAACTGGCATATTTATTAAAAAGTGAATCTTTTTATGCATGTGTTTTAAATAGATCCATTTTTAAAAAATAAAGTATTTTATCTGATGATCGCCAAAACGTGAAACCAAGGGTTACAATCTAATATCCATACAACTGATTATGTTAGATCTTCACAGATATTGACCACTTTCCACTAAATACCGCATATATATATATATATATATATATATATATATACACACACTATTCAATGAAACATGTTTGAAAGAAGATATACTGCCTATATATATATGTATGTATGTGTGTGTGTTTCTTTCAAATGCCACGTAAAAGAAAACAACTGAAACGCTCACAGTGGAAATTATTTTTAAAAAATACGAGAACTTGTAGGTGTTTAAATGATTCATATAATTTTTGCCTACATGAAAAGTTATAAATTATTAATTTTCTAAAAAATAAATATTTATTAAATCATAGAAAAGATAGAACTATTTTTGTAGATACTGCATTATTTCTACATTAAAACATCATTACCTAAAAAAAAAATTTCGTAATAATATATATGTTATTTGATCAGAAATAACAAAGTAAAAACACGCGTAAATTAAATGCCTAAATATTAAATATTAATTTTAACAATACAGTATCTACTATACTAAAAAATATAATAAATATAGTTTTTGTAGATCTTTATAAATAAAACTATAAATATATAAAATATGACTTAATCATATTTGAAGCCCCTTTAAGAAAATCCAAATGTATTTTATAAAAATAAAAATAAATAAAGAATAAATAAGAATGCCAATATATTGTAGTGTATCTTATGTATTCCCTTAAAAAATACACAGGATGACAAATCCTCATATGAGGAAGCAAGTATGAACAGACAGAAATTACAAACCCACACCTAACCCTTAATCTGTGTTTACACTTTGCCATCTTAAATCTGATTCGTCAAAAAAGGCAACACCCTTTTAAAATTTTGTAACCCCTTTCCGCCTCCAACTAAAACTATATAATACTATTTAGATTAAAAAAGTAAATAATTTTTCTCGGAAGTTATTCAACATCGCTTGAGAATAGAACAAAATCTTAAAATTTAAGTTTGATCTAACGTTTAGTGTTTAGTTCCGAAAAATGGCAATTTCTTTGTTGCAATGAATACATATTTTTAAATAATAATATTATATACTCTCTATCAAGCATTCGTTCTAAAAATAAATGCTAAAGAACTGTAGGTTATGAATTTGGCTTTTCTTTTCTTTTCTGTTGATATATATATATATATATATATATATATATATATATATATCACATACTTTAATTTAAATTTGCTTTGCCATTTCTATTCAAATTTATTTTTTATCATTTGATGGTTTTTGAGATAGCAATCTCAAAAAGGTAGAATAAATAATTCTCATATATATATATATATATATATATATATATATATAGATAGATAGATAGATAGATAGATAGATGAGAATATATATATATATATATATATATATATATATATTATAAATAATGACTTCATAATCTACAAATGTTTTAGGTTTAAATGATGATTTTTTCGTTTTCTTTCGGCTATCTTTTTCCATAGTAATCGAACTTTTCGTCATTTTTGTTTGTTTATTTATGTACGATGCTTTTAAAATATGTCTTCCTTTCTAGTGCTGTTGCTCTTCTAACTTTATATCGATATACATACATGCATACATACATACATATTCATATATATATATATATATATATATATATATATTTAACTTTAACTGTTTTGTTGACGTCTAGAACACATAATGTATATAAGTTATATACGTATATTCATTATATATGTCCCACAGGAAGATATTTCTTTGAAGGGAAGTAAAACTCTGTTTTTTAACAGTCCACACTTTTGCGGCCATATCTAAACACGGCAAAGGCGATAGAAGTCAATCAAAACAGAAAATACGGAGTGGAACACTAATGGTGGTTGGGTGTTAATACTGAAAAGCTTCCGGGAAATCCTGCAGCCAAGTCAACTAAGTGTGTGTGTGTGTGTGTGTGTGTGTGTGTGTGTGTGTGTGTGCGTGTGTGTGTGTGCGTGCGTACGTACGTATTAATCATTTCACCCCAAGCAAGGGAGCAAAGGCATTAAGAAACAAGGCATTACTGAATGAGAACGAATAAAAAAAAAAGAGGAACATAATTATGAAGAGATAACTATAAAACAGGAGGTATCAAGAAGACATTAGATCACGGCTGCGATTGCATTTAGATTTTGGAAAAACAAAGTTGGTCGGAAAGCATGGAGCCGTTTAGAGAGTTCCACAATCGAGAAGTGCGAGAGAAGCATCTGGTAGCATAGAACTTACGGTTGCATCTAACCAACTCTAATGTAAACTGATGAGATTTTACCGCCAACCTAGTAGTGCGCTTAAATTAATAAAATTTAGGTACAAAGTAGATTCGCTAAATACAACCTTCAAATGCGGTCAGCCTAAAATTTCGTTTTGCTTTTCAAATAGCTGAATGTTTTCAGTATAATTAGCTAGTTTTTGTTGGCCTGCAACCTGGCATTTTTGCAAAGTTGCGTTATAATATGCCCCCGTCGTATACGTGATATCAAGTTTGAACAGATAAACGGCATGTGACCGTACAAAAAAATGAATGTCTGCGAATGCATACATAAGATAGATCTACAAATATTAAAATAACTTCGTCTGTGATGACAGGTATTCGATTTAATTAAGTTTATTTGTTTAGAATAAGACACGAATTCTTCATAGCATGCTGAGAGCAGCCAGTTCTTGATAATATCTAAGAAGGAACAAAATAAACATTCCTGGAGTATATTCAAAGAGTTTTTTCGGTGCAAAGCGGCGTAATCTAAAATTAGAAAAATAGCGAAAATTATGAGCAATAAACAGACAGAATTTACTGACTTCATATAAAACAGGGGGAAATTCATGCTGCCCCCCCCCACATACATACTCTCTCACACACATAAGCACACACACAAAAACATATATATATATATATATATATATATATATATATATATATATATATATTTGCACATTGAAGTCAACACGTCAAAACACAGTCTGTTTCATGCTAGACGCAATCGTATATATGTACCAGAAACAATAAAAAAAAAAATGATGACACAAGACCAATTTACCTAAACTGACCTTGATTCACACTAATGGTCTTAATGATGGCTTTTTACTTCAGCTCTGTCGCTATGAAAATTAGACTAAATCATAGTTTTTCAGGACTTATGTTTTGCATGTTTGTTTTCAGTATGAATTTATTAAGAAGAAGCGATTGATTCAAATACCCCCCCCGTGAAAATCATGATCATAACATTTTCAATGCCTCTTCAGTAAATAATGTTACCTTTACATTAAAACGTCGTCAAAATTGTTATCACGCAGTTTTTTTTTTTTAATCTCACTCATTTTTGTTTTCAGATATTAACTTATTTCAATTTTAATCCTCGCCAGATCTTGTAACACTGCATTCACAGACATTTAATTTTTGTTATGGGAAGTTTTTATGTTTATTTGCGCTTTAATTATATATATATATAATTAAATATATATATATATATATATATATATATATGGTGCACTCTCCCGCCTTATTCAACGTATGAGGGTCAAGCAGCTGAGTTTCTAGGATCCGACAGTCAGAAACCAGCACATAAGATTTTATTATAGTGAAGGCTTAGTGCAGAACCAGCGACATTTTTTGAAGGGCCGAATAAGAGACCTGGTGCATCGTGTGCCACAAGGTCCCCAAATGACACTTCGCAGATTTTGAATTCAGATTTGTCGTTATAGACCAGTGGCCATCCAAAGCTATGCAACCTAGTCTGTCCTGCTATTTAGCCTTAGCTGGAAGGAGAAGAAGAGGACTCAATACTCATTATGTAAAATTTACATAATTATGGCACACAGCCGAAAAAGGGTAGGGGTTGAGGCTGGTCTACACTAACTATCCTATACCTAGCTAATCAGATTCACGACCCATTCATAAATTACAATTTCCACATTCACCACAAGAACTCGTCCGTCACCAATCACTCCTCCATACATCATAATACCACATCCTCTAGGGGACCTACTAATCCGATCTGCTATTCATTACTCCATGGACCCTCATATATATATATATATATATATATATATATATATATATATATATATATATATATATATATATATATATATGTGTGTGTGTGTGTGTGTGTGTGTGTGTGTGTGTATGTATTATGAAATGGGCAAAATCCGACAATTATTTTTAAGATATTTTTATGTATATACATTCTTTTTATAGATACAAATATTTAAGTAAATATTTACTTTGTCCATTTCCTAATGTGTGACGTCATTTGTTTAAAATGATACGCCATGAGCAGATATGAATGTACGTGAGAGATTCAGGGAAGATTGAAGTTTAAATACAGTAATTTTGACCTTGCTAAATGACGGTTCCCTATAGGATACAGGTTCGAATTCTGTCGGAGGACGAATATTTTCTGTGAAAATTTCTCGGGCATTCAGGCCGGTAAATGTTGTTTAATACTGTTTATTATAAACAGAATATTTGCTGAAATATTTGTATCTATAAAAAGAATGTATAAACATAAAAATGTCTTATATATATATATATATATATATATATATATATATATATGGCGTCTCATCTACAATCACTCTCTCACAGAC